TATCTATATATCGCGTTATATAATCTTGTATTTTTTTTTTATCGTGTCATTTCTACACAGCGTTTCGTAATTGAACGTGACAATTGTACGTATTATACAAAACCAGTTTGAAAAATTAACTTTTTAACAACAGCTTTTTTGTGTAGAAGAATATAATCAGCATCAAATTTTGTTATATTTGTTTCTTTGGAATAAAAATATTCACAGAATTATAATTCTCTCAGCCATATATCTTTAGAAATATTTTGCAATGCAAAATTATTGTATATATAAAAATCTCATAAGTGATAATTGATTCAATATTGTAAAATTACACATCAATTATTGATATTATTATGCCATTGACGTACGTTAGTGTATGCCGTAAATTATTTTGCTCTTTCTTTTTTGAACGTTATCGATTATATTTCAAGATCTCTCTTGTATCATATTGCATGATCGCGTTGAACTAACCGAAAATGCTACCTTTGATTTCTTCAATAATGAACTGCTCTATAGAATGTCCATTTTCGAAAAATCTACTTCGATATATTAGTTTCACTCGTCATCAATGTAACTGCGTATGTAACATCTGTAGCTCCCCGGCAATTCATCGCGATTACAATCGACCGCTGATCGTTGCGCGCTTCGATTCGGAAGCCGCGACGAATTGACCTACCCTATTTTTGAATCAATTGATCGCTATGTGAGAGTGTAGATTTCATGAAAAGCCATCCGCGGTGTAGGTCATTCGATGAAATCAAATGTCGAGCTCACCAAATTCGTTAGCTCGAGCATATTCGTGCCGTATACAGAGAGAGAGAGAGAGAGAGAGAGAGAGAGAGAGAGAGACAGACAGACAGAGAGAGAGAGAGAGAAATAGAGAGAGAGCGAGAGAGAGAAAGAGGCCCGAGAATGTAAAAAACTGCAATCCGAGAAGATTGAATGATTGCGTCGGAATAGATTAATTCCCCTCGGGGGTCGATTTTGCGGAACTGAGGCATTTTATTACAACTCAGTTCTTAATCTGAGAGAAAGAGAGGGAGAAAGAAAAAAGAAAAGAAAAAGTAAGAGAGATAATAAGTTGACCTAATAACCCGGAAAACAGCAAGCGAGATTATTTCTGTGTTCAATGACTGGGGTATTAATCCCCGTCTCTTCCAGTTTTAATCAATTTTTACCGCGCAACAACGCCGATTAAAAGAAACTTGATTGAAACCAATGATCTGGATTTAATAAGCATTCAAAATAGCCTTACATACATGTACACTGTAGTTTTGTTTTCAAATAAATCTAACGATTCGTTGGTCGTGGAAGAAATTAAAATCTATTTTAATGATATTCGATTGTTTTATCGGTGAGTATTAAATTTCTTCCTATCTTGCAAAGTAATATTACATCACAGACATCACTATATAAAAATTTGAATTCATAATAATGCAGTAGCTAAATTTTCTAAAAATTATATACGATATCCCAAAAATCGCGAATCAAAATATTATATATTATAATAAGAAAATTCTCGAATAATTAAGTAATAAAAGTATTCAAGACTTGTTATTTTAAGCAATAGTTTTGAGGGTTTATAGGGGTTTATAGAGGGTTTATAGAAATTTATAGAGGGTTTATAGATAATTTATCTTGTATTAGAGTAAAGCATATTAACAATTAGTTGCCCCATTGATTTTGATATTGAAACATTTCTTAAATTAATTTTCAAGATATATATTCTCGAATTTATCGCGCGCGAAATATAAGTTTGAAAAATAATCGAAAATTTATTTCGTGAGAGCAATTAAGTGCGGTATCGGCATTAAGAACGGAAACTCCGCTGTTACTCCTAATTCGTAAGATATTTCATACGGTTGGACGAAACTAGGTAAAGTTTGGCGAGCGCGCGCGTGACACCTGCCGCCGCGTAATCAACCTGCCGAGTTAACTAGGTTTCTCGTTCTCTCGGCCATGGCGCGAACCTTCATATCCTTCCGCAATAGCGACCGCAACGCGACACGGCTCTGCCGCGTATTGTCTCAATCTACGGGAATATCTGGGGCACCGTCTAAATTCATGCTTGATCGACCAATGAAAACGTCGACATATGCCTTCACGTACGGGGCGTAAGTGAGGATCATACGAATGCCACTGTTGGAAGCTGACGTTACTTCACGAATTACGTTTAACAATCGAGATTTTGCTAAGAGACGTTAGAAAGTTATAAGCCAGCTGAGGCCACGCATTATTTGTCATAAGGTTGTTACGGAAATTCGATGAGCATTCGTTGATTACGCGACACGAAAATTCACATGTGTTTACAAAAGTTGTTGAACTTTGTAAAGTGTGATCAATAGAAACGATATAATTAAAGCTCTCTAGTGGTTTAACTATGTTTTAGAAAATAATGTAATAAAATAGTGGAATCATCTGTTGAAAACGGGCATGAAAAAAACATGGCCATGACGTATATTAATGCCAGCATAGTCGCATGGGTGCAGTGTATAACGATATTTTGAAAAATAACACGGAAATAAAGAAATATACGCACGCATATCTGTTAGAAAAGATGGTAATAGTCTATTCGGTTTATATATGGCACATTGTGCCAGAAAAAAGGCACTACCTATTCCTTTCATAAAAATAATTGAGCAAAAAACATCAATCTTCTTAATTCAATTATAATTCTTTGAAAATAATTATTTGTTTTCTTTTCTTTTAAAAAAATTTTTTATTTGACATAAGAAAATAATCGCTTTTTATTCTCGACTTTAGATGCATTTCAATACTCGATTTGCTTGGAATAGCTGTCGATAAGAGTTTCATTTTATTTGCGGGGTATTTTGACTTTGATTAGACGACTCTATCATTGATTGCAGAATAAAAGCGTATAAGTAAGAACGGAGAGAGAGGCTGTAAGACATAAGGGTTGAAACGGTAACGGAATTGGAAAGAGCCCGATGCGCGAATAAAAGGAGTAAGGAAAATTTGCAGACGGCTTTTCCCACACAGACTATCAATTATGCGCGTCGCTTTACTCTTTGAAGCCCATTCTATCGTGGGCGTACGGCTATCATGTGTCGTGAATAATATCTACATTTAAGCTTACTAATTATGGCACAGCGATACAACGTCCGCATAATGAAACATGCATTACAGTATGTGTAACGTTAATTACGCGGGATGAACAAGCGCAGTGCTCTACATGTGTTGTGTGTATTCTACTCTCGAGACGATATATTTAGATATAAACACGATATGTAAATAAATAACACGCTACATTTTCGTGAACCGTTGGGCATACATCGGGGATATACGATTTACCCGCGTTACAATGATGCGGTTATCGAGAAATTTATAGAGAATTTAATTATTGGAAATTTCGTCGAATAAGACAAGAGTTTTATTGCTATCGAGTTTCATTCACAGGTGAAGATTAGTTATTTTAAAAATACGATTAATATATAAATATATTATTTTTCCCTTTTCTTGTACATTAATTAAATATATTAAATACGCATAAATAGAGAAATATATATAAAATTATGAAATATCTCCTTAAGATGATGAAGGCATGTGATACTCAAACGTACGGTATGTTTAGCAATAACAGCAGGAAGGCAACAACAGCAAGAGCAACAAGTGCGCCTGTCGTAATTACCTTCCATTTCGCTTCACAAACTGTTACCTCGCAACAAATAGACATTTCATGAAAACAACCGAATAGATCGTCAAATTTATAATAATATAGCTTCAAAAAGAGATGCGTTGCATGAAATCTTTAAATTGTTTACCTCATTATTAGGGATGGATCCTATGTACATTAACGTTAAACGTACCTTGACTGACATAAACATATTAATATGCGCATCGTATAATATTTTATATTTATCTTACAAAATATAATTTCGAATTAATAAAAACGTAGAAAAGTGTGCATTTTTATATAAAACTATAAATGTAATAAATAATTGATATAAATATAGAGATTTACGTGCAATTGTAAAGGAGCAAGATAAGCATAACAACTTGTGATAAACAATCAATTTCTATCGCTATGACACTACAACTAATAAAATCTCAAGTGATCAAATTGAATGACGTATAAAATATAATTATCGTGACATACTCTTTGCAATTCTCTTTTTTTTTTTAATTGCAATTAAAGTCAGCGCGTATTCATACATATTATAAATATTTAATACGGTGGTAGTCGAATCGACGAAGGCGTCGATGAAAAGCAAAGTTCAGCGTAGTGAGGAGGAGAGGCATAGAATGAGTAGGAAGGTGGCCCTCAGCAACCCCACCGGTGGCAATCACCTTTCGGTAGTGGATGCATCTCCGCGAGCAGCAGCAGCAGCGGCGGCGGCAGCGACGACGGCGGCGGTGGCGACGGCAACCTCCCTCCGAAAGCGCAGAACGTGGCGCATGCCCATCCGGGAATCGAACCCGCGGAGGCACAACGTCACCGGCGAACCGTCCGCCGGGTTTCTCAGTACGTTTGGCGAACAGTTCGCGAACGGACGTATATTCCTCCTCCTCGTGAAGCTCTGGAGAACGCACTCGTTCTGAGCGTAAACACGAGCGACAGCAGAGAGACAGAGAGAGAGAGAGAGAGAGAGAGAGAAAAAGAGAAAGGGAAAGACAAACGCGGGTGGTCTCGGTGGCCCCGACGCGAATGCTGGGTGGCCCCACGATTCGCACCCGGAACGAACCACCTGTTCTCGTAGGCTGTTTTCTCTCGCGTTGATCCTGCGGCGCGAACGCCACGGTGACGCAGGGAGAATATCCTCGGGTTTGTCGCGCAACCTGAGTGCATGCATTGACCTCATCGTTGACAGCTCGCACCTCGCCGGCTCACCACCAAGGTCGGCTCGCGATCAATGAACGTGGCGCTCGCTGCCACGTGACCGGACGAGACAGCGAAGACAAACGCATCCTTTGTGGGATGCTCGTATAGAATCCCGTTTCAGGACGCTCGTCAACACATCGTGAATCTTTTCCGTGAAAATTTTGAACTGTCGTGGCCCCGATAATCGCCGATAAAGGTTCCCGACGACGTTCTCGAGACGAGCAAAATCTCGCGACGTTTCTTTTTGGAGCTTCTGAGATTTCTCTATGTTTGCGCTTTGAAATCGAAAACCTCTAACGACAGACAGTTTCCTCCTCTTAACACGTGACAGCGGCGTGTTCGGTCACCAGATTAGAACGAGAAACCCATAATCTTTCGGAGGCATCCAGAAGTTCTACGAGAACGACTGATTCTATTTCTTGATCTCTGATTAACGGACACTAATTGTGCGACGCGAAAAGAGAGGCGTTAATGTCAGGTCGACGTCGCTCCGCGTCGTGCGGACCCTTTGATACATTTTCCGATTGTTAAAGAGTTTGTACGCGGAAAGAGGGAAAGACGCGTCAGGGGAAGGACGACTGTGACGTGCAGTGCAATCTGTGTAAAGTAGACTCCGGGGACGGTGGGAAGGCAGTTGGAACGTGACGTGACGAGAGAGTTATAGAGGCCGAAAGAGCACGGACGCGAAAAAAACGGTGGGAGACAGACCCTGGTTAAGCCTCCGAAGTGGGAATTGTCGCGTCAGACACGTGAGACTGGTGAGTCTATAGTTTCAACATTATTATGTTACACGTAAGAAACGTTTTATGTTATAAAGCAAACCTTTTAAAGTTTGATCGAAAAAGCGGATGACATCTCGATAAAGTAGCAATGGTCATGTTCATTGTTTATGATCATCTCCGAATGAGCAACAAGTGTTGATGGCATTGTGTCAGGCAGTCTATTCTTGATATCAGACTATAAATAGCTCCTCACAAGACGGGCTCGTATTATTTTTTTATCAAAAAAGAGAAATTTTTTAAAATATATTAATTCATGTAACTGTCATTACAAAGTAGCCTCTGCCGATTCTTATCAGAATATAGTTTATACAGTTTAGATTGTATATAATCTTTATGTTACAAAATCTGAATTTTATTTTTTCATATATCCATAAAATAATATTGACAACTTTGCACACATACACATATATAAATATAATATAAAATTGTTATATTCTGCTGCAGAAATAATAGTGTGATTTATTTCGACTAATTTAGTTCCAATTAGTTGAGCTTAAGGCTTGGATGACGATAATTAGAGTTAAATATACAGCAGACATTTAGCAAATATCCAGCTCTCGTGGATACCGTTAGTTCAAACGCGCATTTTAAAATAGTACACGCGGAGTAGAGGATGGAAAAGAGCGGAGAGAAAAATGAGGAGAGACGGAGAGGAGAAGCGGAAAGAGTAAAGCGCGACAAAAAGGACCTGCCGTACGAACATGAGTGACGTTAAGCTGACGTGAGTGGAAGGGCCGGCCGAAGTCGTGGGTGGGCCCATAAGAGAGCGGGAAAAGGATAGAAAAGACAGTTGACGAAGCAGAAGTATGGCAGACGGAAGGACGTGGCAAAGTGGCGAGACCGGATAATAGAAAAAAAGTAGAGATCGTTGCGGTCTATCCGGAGCCGCTTTCGATTAATATGCGCGACGCTATATAATTCGATGGTTACAAATTCAAACTGCGCATTTGCGCGAATATGCGTTAACTTCGCCGAATCATGAATTCAGATGTTGACTGTTCAACCGCGAACTCGGTTGATTTATGTACGCGCCGATCAATCGCCAAAGTTTGCAATTTCCCTCGCAATTTCTCGCTTATAAAAAATATAACGAATTACGCGTATACATTTTCAGCATCCCCGAAGAAAAAAATTAGTAATATTTAATGCGAACGACCGTTTGTCTTATCGTTAAATAAGTTTTAAATCGATTATTTTGATAAGACACACGAATTTATGTTGCCACTAGCGGAATTTTTATATTTCGCAAAATTCCATTTTTTAAATTAACGTAGTTAACCGCGTTACCGTACTTTAAAATGAATGAGAAGAAGCAAAAATATAATTTGCAGCAAAATTAATTAGATTTTTGCGGCGTAGACAATTAATTTACTTGCGGCGCGCAAACTTTTTCCCGCGTCACGTAGATAGAAAATTCGCCGCAGTCGCACGCGACGTTAGTTTTTTGGGCAAACTTAGTTAACTAAGTAGCCAGAGAGAAAGAAAGGAAGAGAAAGAGAAGCGCGCATAAATGAACGTTATACGCGGGAATAAAAACTCGATCCCGGTCCTCCGATTGAGGCCTATAAAGGCTGTGCGTCACGCGACGGCTTGTTAGGCAAACATCACGCAAATAAATTTCGACGGATACAAAAAAAAAAGGGTTCGATCGTCACGATGATTACGCGTCGGGCGAATGTAACCCGCGGGGGGCGAGATGGGGAGGGGAAGGGCGTGCGTAATTCAACGCGTCGAAAGTTAGTCGTCATTAATTCCCTCGTTTCGCTTAATTAATGCCGAGCTGCAGCGCTTTCGTTGAAAACTCGATATACGAGATTATTTCATTCACAATTCTACGGTATATAAACTTGTGCGATTTCATCGGCAGGATATCGAAAATGTTTATTAACTCAGCTGTATACTGTCTGATTAATTGCGAGCTTACTAAAAACTAAAATAAAAAGTAAGATAGGTCGAAGAGTCTCGCGTTGCGTTAAAGTAAGGAGAGCTCGAATAAAAGCTACTGTACGCGTGTCACGCGAGTAGCTTTTTTTTTTGCACGGTTGCTTATCGCACGTTGGAATGAAGTTGGAAAAAGTCCGCTTTCTCTTTTTCGGGCTAGAAGAGTTTAACTTTTTGAATTGGTTGGCTGGAAATGGCAGCAATATCATCTTTGCAACCCGTTGTCGCAACCCGTATCCTTTTTGTAGTATAACGTCTATTGAAATTGTGCCGCGCCTCTGTGACATCCGTTTCTTCGTGGAGAGAGAATCGCGGACTGATTGTCGGAATTAATTAATTGGGTTTGCAGTGCACATTTATATCTCGCGCAAAAATGCAATTTAAATGGAAATTCCGTGACCCCGATTGAATTTTCAATATAACGTAACATTTGTTATCGAAACTATATGTGCCTAACACACCGGCATATAGCTCGTGTTTCTGATAACGTTTCCATTTGGTGCAAATATATATATGTTCTGAGAAATACGATTTTAATCATTTTCCTTCGAACTTTTCGACAAACACGCGTGTCTGTGCGTACCGCAAACGAGAGGAATACAGGGAAGAGAGAAACGGATAATACAGTCCGAAACATTGAATGGCAGGCAGTAAACCCCATCGAGTAGGAAAGGGCTTATTCTCGATTGGACAAATTGCCGCCAATCATAAATAATTGACAGACAATCGCAAGGGATTTAGATTTACCGGCTCGGCACGTATGTATGTACGTGTGTGTGCGTGCGTCTATGTATGCCCATAACTTCGATACTGATTTGTACCAACTCTAAACCTTAATTTAGAGTGCGTTGGTCCACATTTGTATAACCGCACGCGAGCAATACACGGGGGAGACCAATGCGCCGTTACGCTCCATATATTCCATGCACGTTATATTCTCATCAGAAATACGTTTAGTTGTAAAACGCTTCGCGCGCACGTGCATTAATATATTTTGTAATATTATTAATGCGCTCATTTCCAGCGGATTTGTATAAAATGTCTCATTGTGTGCACATCGAGTATTGTATCAAATATATTATAGCTTTATAAAATATTCGTGATATAGTGTGACTCGCGATTATAAGTAGATGGCTTGGAATTGACAGCTTACTTACAACATGCTTTCTTATTTTTCAGAGGCTGTCCAATAAATCCAAATTTTCTTAGAATATTATTAGCTGATGTTTATAATACTAATTAACTAATTGATATAAATGTAAAAATCTAATTAAGATATAAAAAGAGCGAGTCTTTGGGAAAAATTGACTGATAATTAAGACGGATAATGCAATAATTAATATATTTCAATATTGCCGAGCTTGTATATTGTATAATTGCAGTTGAAATTTGAACGAAATGTTAAAAATACAATAGTAAAGGGGGAAGAATTAAAAGGATATTATGTATTATGTATTTTTCATATTCTAGTATCGAAATTGAAGTTATTAATATTCTTTACTTCAAATAATCGATTATGTTTGATAAAAAATTCTAAAGTTTTAAAATCATCTTTATGCCTTAGAAATGAAAGAATTAGAAAAAATTTACTAAAAATAGATAAAAAGTAATAAAGCATAACGGCGCATTGTTTTATGTACATATTGGAGTGATTTACAATTAGAAAATATTATACAATTTGTATCTATCCATGATATCCATTGTGTCTTCCATGATTTTCTTAAGATAGATGTAGTCGCTCGTTTTTCTTTCCGGAATTACTCTATCATTAATAAAACATTGAATAATGCTGTCGTCGAGACTTTGCGAAGATAAATTAATCGCTTATCCCGAGGAAAGAACTATATAATTATTTACGGCTATTTACGGATTTCTTTGCGGAAACCACTGACGTGCAACTTGCGTGTAGCTTGGGAATTTGTACGGATCGCGCGTGATTCGAGGAACAGACGTCACTGCCATATATCGAGATGGCGAATACCAAGGGGTAGATGTACCGGATTGCAGGGGTAGAGCATGCCTTCCGCGCGATCAGATACCGAAGATTACAAACGAAATACCACCGAGCTACTTTTGTTTTCGGAATTCTGTTGTAAAAACGTCATCTGTAAGTAGACTCGAATTGATCGTGTATGTGTGTACGCGTATCTTCCGTAATTTCTCAGATAACAAACAGATCGCAATCTATGTAACATGTGTGTAGAGTTTAAAATTTACACGAACCACTTTTTCCTCTTTTTATACACTAAAATTGAAAATGAAACTAATTTCAAATTTAGAGAATATAAAGAAAAAGATAATATATATATATATATTCATCTCTGCAAGACCAGAAAGCATAGAGCATAAAAAAGATAAGACTGCGCGCGCGAAAGGAGGGAGAAATAGACACGAAGAGCATGCAAGGGCATTTGGTTAGAAAAGGAGGAAAGTATAGACGGACGGAGTACAATGAAGAGAAGATAAGTAAAGCTGCTCCAAAATGAGGTCGACATAATTGCACCCTCCCCCACCCCTCCAATCCGTACCAGAAGCGGACGGTCGCAACGGGGCGAGAGCTATGTCGCGACGCGGGGTTGAGGAGGACAAGCCTCGTAAAGGGAGTTGGCCGTCGTCCATTGTCTCATACGGAGACTCGACCCGGCGCTGATTAAATACTTGACACATCCCCGCGGCCGCTCTCCGATCCGGCATAACTTTGTTCGGATTGTAATTACGGGGCTGGATCGGTCTTCGTTCGCGAAACGAGGGGTACGAGGAACAAGAGGGGGGATTGGGTTTCCCGAGCACCATTCCCGCCGGCAAACTTGAGCTCGTTCCTTTCAGATCGGTCCGCCACCCCTCGGCGGTTCTGACTTTCTATGCGCGAGCCGTCTCGATTCCCAACTTTTTGAAACGTTTCCGGGGATTGTGCGCACATGATCTGTTGAATAACCGTCCGTCCATCCGTTCTCGGCTCCCCGCGTGAGTCCATGTTATTGATTCGTATTTCGCGCTACATTTCTTGAGGTAATGATCAAGAGAGAAGCTACGCC